GAAAAAAAATTATTCTTCCTTCTTTAGGACACATAGTTCAGCAATAAAGATATTCTTAATTAAATCAGGTTGTATGTTAATCGAGATTAATTAAGTTTTTTTTTTTTTCATTCAATCTGTATCATCTGCAGTATATTTAAAAAAAATTAATAATTTTTTTTTTAATTCTAAGTACTCAAAAATTTAAACTTTAAAAAAAAAAAAAAAAGAAGCAAACCTCTTTAATTATCAGGCCAACCCCTTAGCATTTCAATAATATGTACTACAGATAGGAAATAAACCGATTTTGGTCATATTGAGAAATTTGACGAACACTTATTGATTATTGTGGTCTCTTTTAAGTGGACTTCCATGTTACTTTTTTCTCATATTCGTCCACTTTAATTATTATTGCAACTTTCTATCATCTCCTGTCGGCACTAAGGACGTGGCTAAGATGGTTGGTAGCACCAATGCTTTTCATACTTTTTTTAATAAATCTTATTGCAAAGTCTGTCAAGCAACTTTCCTAATTGGTTCAAAACATCCACTTAAAAAGTACACTAAGTAATCCATGGAGTTTTAATGTAGGAGGATCGATACCTGTAATTGTTAAGCTTTCTTCATTAAAGAGAACGCTATTAAAGGATCATTAATTATAAGGAGTTGTTTTCATTTGATCAAAATCAAAATTTAATTTTTATTATAATTAACTATAATTATTTTTGTTAATATCAGGTTTTGGTGGGTTTTGTCTTAAAATACAATTTAATAGTCGACGTTATTTTGAAAACATATATATCATTTTAAGCTAAATTTAAGTGGCACCTGCATGAAACAAAGCAAGAAACTACAAACTTTTCACTTCTTCGATAAAGAAAATGAAATAATACCCTTGCAAGACACATTTTAATAAATATACTGACATGACAATACCAATAGGCCAACCAACAGATTGGTAGTAGCATATTTGCTAACGTGGTAATTAAAATTAAAAAAAAAATTATTTCAATTTAAAAATATAAAATTTTATAATAATTTTATATTACTTTATAATAGTTAATCAATAAATCAACAATCAAATAAAAAGCTCATTTATTGCTTTATTTGCTACGCATAATCTTAAAATATCTAAAGTAAATAACAAGAAGAGTAAATCATGTGCACCTATTATTGAAGCATTCCATGGATGAAAACATCCAAATTAAGTAATGGCATCGGTCCCATGAAATATCTATATATTAAGGATCAAAGAACAGAGCTCGAAGAACTTGACTCTGTGTGAGATTATCATAGTCAATTTCTCACATTCATTTCCATGATCAATTTCTCAATTCAGTCAATTTGACCCAGTGCTTTGAAAATAGATTGACTTGCCAACCTTTTGGTCCAAAAGCAGTGGATCCTGTTTCTTAGTCTTCTCAACTTGTCATAAGTATTCAAAAGGCAAGTTAGACCCAAAAACTAAGTGACACATCCTTCGTAGTTTCATTTGTTTATTCTAACAAGACATCTCTTGCTTTTACTGATGAAGAATCATAGTATACAAGTGAAAAATATAAAGAAGCATACCTTTTTGTCATCCAATAGTATTAGGCCGAGGACACAAAGATTACCCTAAAATACTATCATTAATTCACTTTCTACTAATCAATTATGTAACCCTCCTCTAATTATGGCCGCGAGAAGCAAAATGGTTTGTTAAGATTGATGTTCAATTCTCTTTATCCACAGATAACTAGCTATAGTTATTTTTTTTTAATGATATCATGATTTGAGCGGTTTGGTTTAAGAAACATTTCAGTGGTCAATCAAAATATAAAGATGTTTTGATACTAATTGAGTTTTAATAATGATAGATTTAGTCTTGATTAATGAAAAATCTAATCTAAAAATATTATACTACTTGTAAATATCAAAGAAGAAGAAGAAGAAGAATGGTGCATGCATGATTATTCTCAACACCATTAATTATAGGTTGACTGAACCACTTCAAAAGTTCAAGTTTCATATAGCTCTTAACTTTAGCCTTCTCCGTTCCAATCTCTGTGTGTTCTACTTTGGAGAGCCTTCTTCGTTCCAATCTCTCTGTGTTCTACTTTGGAGAACAAAATCTAAAATTTAGAACTTCAAGTACTTAAAAAAATGACCTACTCTATCAATGCTTGCAAACTAAACTAAAAATACAGTTAAACATGGCCTCGGTACTTACTATTCATGTCTTTGTAGAGGGACCTCAGTTCATTGTTCCTCTTCTCCTAAATTCACCCCATCTTCTCGATCTATTGAGTTGTTTTTGTTCACATGATAATGTCACACTACATAAAGGTTGACCCACCTTAAATTAGTGGGCTGCCATGTTATCTGTGTCTGTGATGCATGCATGATCTTTTCTTTAGCTTAACATGCACTGCAATCTTTCCGCAATCGATCTGTGATTGCACTAACGAACTAGACGATTAAGGTGGCTAGAGCACAAATGTTTTACTTCATTTTAATAGTCTTGCAAAGTTCCTCAAGCAAAATTGTCTCATTGGATCAAGACATGCAACTAAGAGAACTAAAATAATACATAAAGGGCTCTTGCTGTAATGTTTAGGTATAATATCACATGGGGAGAAGATAAGGATATTTTTTATGGAGTATCAATATTTGTTTGTCAAGTGGCACATTTTCTATTGTAACTGCAAGACACTTTACCTTGTCAAGGATCACAACTATACGAGCATTAACGAAAACAACAAATTTTGCTGCTCCTGTTCTTCAGGATTCATGGTTGTTTGTTTATGACTTGTTCGTGCTTTCAAGTGTATAAGATAGGCCGTAATTCTAAAGTTTCATCCTGTTGGGCTTAAAAGGTTTCGAGTTTGGACAAAGCTACTTCAATGGCAAGGTATTCTAGTAACCGTGCGAGTCATATGAGAGAATAGAACAAACTACTTTGTATTTACTAGCTTCAAAGAATGCTTCTAAGCTCTAATGTTTGTTTGGTAATAAGGTGGATATATTTTTGTAAAAACATATTTAGATTTCGGATGGTTTTCGATGATTTTAATATTATCATATCAAAATTATTCAAAAACATCAATTTTACGACTTTTCAACCCCAAAACACTTTAAAATGCATTTTTAAACGCAAATCAAACACATTACAAAACAGAAGAGTGTTTTCAAACAGTACTTTCCCACTTATTTTCTTTCCATTCCACCTTCATAAAACCAGCAATCCAGGAGAAGATCACAACTCATCGCTTGAAGATATGGATCTAATTAGTGGTACTTCTTGTACAAACAAAATCAAAAGCAATCCTTTAAGCTAGCCTATCTCTCTTGCCATTTCCCAAAGAAGCTAAAAGAAAGAAAAAAGTATTCCCCCACTAGCTTTCTTGGCCCCATTAGGACAACCTTTTGTGCCCAGAAAGAAATCCATAAAATCAAATCCAGAAAGTGTTGTATCTGTTAAATAACAGTTCTGCTAACCTTATCTGCGGTATAAAAAATTCACAACAACCTAGTAACTAGAATTAAATTTTCAACATTTGCGTCAAGTACCAACATGAATTTTTATATTACCACAAGATTATTTTGAAGATCTACTTAAGAACATTGCTTTAATTTTGAGCCACATAAAGAAGCTAATAAATATAACTTGCTTAGATTACAATCGGCCTACTTGCATGGCAAAAGATCACGGCTGCTTGTAAACCAACAAAACAAGAGATCTTTAGTACGCCATCCACAAATCCAACTTTGATGCTACCTATCAGTGGATAATCTAAGCCTGGTGCCAGACAGTATCCCATCTAAACGACATAACAGATAATTAAAAAAAATGGAAGAACACAGGGTTGTGGCTTACGGTTGGGAGGAAGGCCATGTCCTCCCAATTAGTGGGGCTTTACATTAACTGGCAACTATTTTAGATGTTATTGAGATGCAGACAGATCATTCAGCTCTTGCTAAAAGAGAGGAAAAATTATGATCTAAGGTTGTTCCAAGCATACTTGTATACTGCAGTAGACAATCGAATTGTCATGTCAGCTAAAAACAAAGTAAGATTCTTGCTGTATAAATCAAATTGTATTGGGATTGATATGTCCTATGGAACACATCCTAAAGGCCAAGCAAAAGAAGGGAAGGAAAATAAAGTGATTTTGCTCCAAAGATACCGATGAGTGTAGTGACTAGCTACATAGGATATCTTCAGAGCAGATTTCGTATCAACTGGGACTAAATACATCATTTCGTGGGTTAAACCCATGACAGAATACGTTTAACCTTTAGTCGATAATTAGTCTGCCTCTTAAGCTAAATTACCCAAAGCTTGGTACCACTAAGATATAATTATGACTAGTTATTTATGTACAGTGAAAATTAAATTTCGACAGCTAAGATAACTTCTTTATGGCTAGACCACGTACCTTCATGGTTAATAGCTACATATCTATTTGCTGCGTTATGTTGAAATCAAATTGAGTTGAGTCTGACTCAAAAATATTTGGAATGCCTACCACTTTAATGTATTAAAACAAATGAATCAAATTGAAATGAAGAACTGGAAACTCTATCTTATAAACAAGTGTACAAAAGCTCATTTGAATTGACTTCAACAGCATGTTTTTCCATGTCACCTTCAGCCAAGGAAACTTCGAGAGTCCTTCCTCAGAATCCAGAAACTGGGTCCCTGACAGCATTTCGAGATCTTGATTCATCAGATGAAGTTGCCACGTGGCACCATCTGAACAGAAGAAAGTGGATGGCCCCATTTTGATAAGGTTTCAGTGGAGCATCCATATGTTAGAGACCTTCATAGAATAAGAGACAAACCTATTTGTATGCTAAAACCCTAAGAATATTCTTAATTATAACCTCGTTAGTGTAATAATTGTGAATATAATATCAAAACTCAAGCGGTAAATTCAATCCTTTCCAACTTTCCCTATATATATAGTTGCCAATCTGCAACCACCTCCAAATAATTCTGTTCTGTCTTAACCCTCCAAAGTCCAAAATATCCGAGCATGTCTACTTCTACTCCAACCACTCATCAACTCTTTCAAGATTTTCTTGGGGACTTCTACTCAAGAAGACTGCTATTGCATACCCCTTTTGACCAATCAGCAAGCACAGCAAATCCTCCAGCTCCTGGAAGCACTGCCTCGTCTGAACCTTACACTGACGCTGACAACAGCTTCGATGCAAATGTTGTTATGGTTCTTTCAGTCCTGTTGTGTGCGCTAATTTGCTCACTTGGCCTGAATTCCATCATCAGGTGCGCATTAAGGTGCTCTAATTTGGTAGCTTCAGAATCTGCTGCAAACTCCTCGACTCAGGCAGCGAACACCGGAGTGAAACGAAAAGCATTGAAGACTTTCCCAACAGTAACTTACGCAACTGACTTGAACCTGCCTGGCCTTGACACAGAGTGCGTAATCTGTCTCTCAGAGTTCGCACCTGGTGATCGTGTTCGTCTTCTACCTAAGTGCAACCATGGATTCCATGTCAAATGCATTGACAAGTGGCTCAGCTCCCATTCATCCTGTCCTACGTGCAGGCACTGCCTAATTGAGACCTGCCAAAAAATTGTTGGTTGTAGCCAGGCTAGCACATCAGGACCTACTTCTCTACCAGTACAAGAAGTCATTGTGAGCATATTGCCACTAGAACCTGAAGGTTTGATACGCGATTATAGAGGGATTAGCTAAGAATTTTCCTTTTTCTTCTTTTTACTTTTAATTGTATGATATATTTAGCCCTGCACATTCATGGCTCTAGCTAGAAGGCCTTTGTCCCTGGCTACCATCCGCAAGAATTGCAGTACAGATGTAAATATTTAGCAGTTTAAAATTGTCAACATGTAGCTCAATTTTTCTTCCCTCGCAATGTCAAACCCAGCAGTTCCAAAACCAGAAACACAAGCCAAAACAAAAATTGAAGAACCTGGAACCCTGTAGGATCCCTCAAATACCAAGCTGAGTACATAAAGTGACTGGCTAAAGGAAACTGAGAAGGAAAATCACTCAAAAACTCACTTTTCTTAATGTGGGAAGCCAATCAGGCAAGTGAAGTAACAAAACCTTCTTCTTTACTATTAATTAAAGAACACCAAATTTCACTAATAGTGCTTTTTACACCAATTCTAACCTACATGGGGCATTGCAGCAGTATAATATATAGTAATTTTTTATCAAGAGCAGCTTAATATAGTAAAGAATCACAACATTATTTCCCCAGAATGTATTGAATATTGATCCACTAAGATTGCTTTTTTTAATTATTATTTCTTTATTTCACCAACTTTACATCAGAGCAGTCCACAGCAAGGGAAATGAGCTCGTTCTGATACCACTTGAAAAGACTTGAAGCATAGCAATCATGTGTAAAACAGTACGTTCCAATCAAAAGAGCATAAAAAGAAAAAATGGAAGCTGAGGATGAATGCAACACATATTCTCAAATCAAATGAAGCCATACTAAAAGGGGAATTTTGGAACATAGTACTAAAACATGAAAAATCACTCTACCCTCGCGGCAGGAAATGGGATTAATTTGTAAAGGAATTGTGTAATGCGCTATGGTAGTTGATTGTGGGCCATTGATTTGACTGTAATGCTAAAATGACTCTAAAGAGAAGCTAGCCAAGGCATTGCATGGTGAGGTCAGAAGAGAACGCAAGGAGACTGCAGCAAAATCAGAATTTTTCTTTAACATATCTCATAATCTGATGTTGACATCAGATCCTAGGTTGGATATCGCGAAAGGGCGAAATACACGTCGTGTACTTATACTATTCAATATTATTTATTTTAACTTTTCTATCTCCGTACGTATGATACAAAACAAATTTTATATTACCCAAAGTTGAGATAAATCAATATTTTCTTTCATCTACGTTAATTATGTATTTTCATATAATACGTACGACATAAAATAAATTTTATATTATCCAAAGTTGAGATAAATCAATAAATTTTATATTATAAGACAAATCAGTATTTTCTTCTGTCTATCTTAATTACGTATTTTTATATAATACATACGATGCAAAACAAATTTTATATTATCCAAAATTGAGATAAATTAATATTTTTTTTATTTACTTTAACTATGTATTCTCATATAATTGATGAATCATTGAATGAAAAGATTGATTTGTCGTAATCTTAAACGATGAAGAATTTATTTAGAATCATGATTAGATAAAATAGTTAAAATAAATAATACTAAACAGTAAAAATGCGATGTTTATTTCACCCTATCAAGAAAGCAAAATGAAGATCCGGTAAGTAATTAGCATCTTGAGGTAGCCCATAGGCAGGGCTAGAATTGAGTAACCAAAGATCTTCCATGTTCTTGATACCATATTAAATTTTCCATGTGATCTTGAGGTAGCCCATAGGAAGGTCATAGAAGATTCCAGGACATCTCAAGAAACCTTTTTTCAGACAAGATAAATGTCACTGAACATTAATTAGTGCTTTATTTTTGTGTACTAAAGATTTCATATCACTGTCATGATCATCCATCTATTTACCCCTGTATTGTCTGCCTTATTCTGGAATCTTCCTGCAATCTTCTATGACCACTTGCAGCACTACGGTTCCTGAGTTATATCCACATATATCCTTTCAAATCTAAACATGCATATTGAAGTTTTTTTCTTGTTTAGTCGAGATATTTATATAAATAAAAGTTTTTTTTTTTTTTCAGCTGCTAAAGAGAGCAATTGAAGAGAAAAAAAGGGGGGGGGGGAGGCGCAAACTTTTGCAAAATCCTCTAGGAAGAAAGCAAGGAATTTTTTTACACAAAATATAAATATTAAAATTTTCTCTGGTATTGATTTTTTAGATACTAAAATTACATATAATTACATTGATCTCACTTGAATGATTGTATTACTTTCTTAATTATAAATAATTATTTTAGAGTCAATCTTATGGTTTTTTCCTTTATAATAAAAAAAAAATTTTTACGTAAATGTGGAATTTTTATTGTTATGCTCTTGTAATTGATTTAGTTTTTACTCTTAATTATTGTATTTGTTTGATTTAATTTTTTTTTTTTTTGTTTACAAAATCTAATTTATTCACAGTGGTATGAGATTAAATTCCCAAAGCATAAACAAAGATTTAGTGCTCGAAAACATCTTTCCCAACACAAATTAGCACCTCCTCGAAATTCTATAAGTCATGGCTTCCAAAGACTCAATATGGTCAAGAATTATAGTGTTTGTGACTCACTGCCCAACTTAAGCACAAATTAAATACTATCGCTGGCTCAAGCACACACAGTTCTCGCCATTCGCTAGCATTCCGTATACACTTGAATCAAATTCCAAGAAATGATCACGATAACTAACGCTAGCTAAATTTGAAAGCTAGCAAACTTTAGTACAACAAAATCCTCAAAGTTTTTTCAACACTAGTAATAGCTAACATTTTCTTATTGCTTTCCAAATTTATAATGCAAAATTTATCCATCCCATTTGTTCAAGAATCATACATCATCCTAACATAAAAAACAATTGCGTTGGAATTTTAATTTCTCATTTGAGGCTTTCCGGTAAAATTCTATTGTGGATTGTTTTGTACCGACCTCAATTAAGAGGATTTTGAAACAAAAAATTTATAAAAAGGATTGGAACGTAGTTTGCAAAGTAGTCTATCTTTTAGATTCTAAATTAGACGACTAAAATTGCTAAATATTAATGAAAACAATATCTTTAAATAAATATTAATAAAAATAGTATCTCAAAACATAAACTAACATGTGTTTCTCATAATAACAAATTATAGATTGCAAAACCGAACAAAAATAGAATTGATAGATATTGCATTAAATGTCCTTACAAATAGCAATAATGCTGAAAATACAAATACTTATAGATGCATAAACTAATTAACAAGCACGAATTGAAACTCTAAACATTGAGAGGTGAAATATCTATGTATTGTAATGAAAGCAACAATTGAACCGAGAGATGATTTACCAATATACAATTGCTTGCTTATTTGATTACCGCCTACTTGATTACGATCTATCGGATTATTACAAACAAACTATAGCCTAAAGTATTTCAAGTATTTGAAAGATAAAGTCGATAATTTGTAATAGTTATTGTAGGTATTAGTTGTGTTTTTTTTTTTTTTTTTTTTTTGCAACATTATCACATCTCTCTTATTTCCGGTTCTAATTACTGAATTATTTGTTGTTAGCCTCTCGTTGTGAATAGGATTTGGCTCTCTATGTCTTTTGCCCACAATGTAATTCTATTTAGAATTATATTAAGCCTTTTGTGTCTTTTAATTGTAAAACTCTTTTGGATTTTTTTTCTATATGGACTTACTTTGTGGATTGGACTTTGAGTGCACTAATGGCCTTTAGGGCCTACTCTCTGTCTTTTAATTATAAAACTCTTTTGAACCTTTTCTTTATATAGGCTTACTTTGTCTATTTGACTTTGAGTGCATTAGTGGCTTTTAGGGCTTATAATATGGGTTTTATAATCAAAGCATCATTGGACCTTAATCAATTTGATGAATTGTCAAACCTCAATCAAATTTGGATATAACAAATTCCTTAATATAAAATATTAAGTTCTATAGAGAAACTTATTGTTTAAAAAAAATATATGGATAGATAAGAAAATTTTGACCGAGAACTTTTAAAATTTGGAGGATAAAGTTGATATAATTTTTTTTTTTTTTTTTGAAAAGTTAAGTTATATAATTGGGGGCATTTTAAATATTATTGCATAACATATATATATTAAAAATAAATTAATTATATGTTCATGGCTAAATTGAATTTTTCCGAGGAAAAAAATAAAAATGAAAGGCCACCTCTAAATCAAATATCAAATTAGTACCCGAAGTTTAGCATTTTATAAAATTACCACCAAATGTTTGAAAATGTAACAATTTGCATAAATGCATCAGTACCAGAGATGTTGAATTGCTCCTGGGACGGCCCTAGGCTTAAGTTTTCTCAAGTTTTGAATGGGCCCAATTCAAAATCTAGAAAAAAAAATCCAAAAGAATTGGTCCGAGGCCCAATTCATCAATAAATCTATTTTGCATAAATAAAATTGTTGGATGGTTCAAATTTTAATAAAGTTTTTTTTTTCTCGAAAATAAGTGGTAGATGATTTTTCTTGCTGATAGGCATCTTATTTTGTTTTTGATGGAAAGGTATTATCTAGCTAGCCCTTCAATATTGACAATAATTTTTTCCAACCCCAGTTTTTATCACTTTTATTAACCAAAAAAATATATTTTCTTGAAATTCCTCCAAAATTCAAATTAATTTGTGGAGTAAAACCAGCATCCAGCATTCTTTAAAATGTTACTTGATCATATATATATATATAAAGGAAACCTCTAAGGAGTAGGTGTGTTGGTAGTTGGGTTTTATACATATTGAGACTATATAATTTGGATTTTTTTTATTGAGATCTAATTTTTTTTATCCAATTTAAGAGTTCTACTCTTATGTGATTATTGTTTCAAATCCTAAATAATGATAGCTTGTCGCGTAAATACATGTGACAAACTTTAACTAATAATAATTTGTCATGTCGTCAATTTAATCATTTAATTTAAGCTCATCATGACACACGGTAAATTATCATTGACTAAAGCTTGTCACGTGTGCTTACGTGGCACATTATGGTTTAAAACAATAATAATATAAGAGGAAAACTCTT